ATCTACGGCAAGTCTAACCCGAACAGAAAGCACCATACTACTCAATGATGAGGCACACACGAGTTATCATAGACTTTCACGGTGCAAATTGTCGGAATAGCACTTGTCTTGGAGCAAATTGTCGTAAACTCGATCCGACAGCATATTTGGAGGTTTTATAAAAGTACAGTAGAATGAACAGTAAATTTGCATTTTCCAAATCTACACATGTTGCGATCGATTTCGTTGTTTTATTCGTTGAATTTGATTCATTTGATAAATCGTAAGCAAAATGCGTTGTAAGTTTCAGCGACTGGTTAAGAGAGCAATGAATACTGGCGGTATTCATCGGTTGAATTCACCACTAAAGAACTATGATAACTTCAATTGTGCCTATCGTAAGTCCAAGGAAATCGTCTTCGAAGCGGTGAACTTGGATGAAAAGTCGAACAGAACCGGTAAGAACTCTTGGTTCAAATTGCCTGAACGATTGAAGCTGTTGAACATGTCCGTAACCGCTTCAGTGATTTGTAGTTGAAACCACAGAGGTTCATTCTTGTGTGTTCTGTACTTCCTGTAAAAAAAGCTGAGTGAAATGTTATTCTCCAATCATCAGCGATGTGATTCACTCAGAAATGAAAGAAAGTATCAGCTATATTTTCCAAGTGTGTGTGTTGAGGTTTTCATAGTATGATGGTTTTGTATATGTTGAAAGTATTTTGGTGCATTTTCGTCGTGACTTCGTATAAAGAACCTCTCAACTGGCTGAAATTTCTTATGTATCTTCGGGATTTCTTATATGTTTTCGATTTTCGGACATTTAAACGAATTATTTTCAGATGAAAGCAAAAAACGTGAGGTGATGGATTTGTATAGGAAAGGAATAAAACAATTCGAAACGGCTTTGAAATACGCGAAAATGGCGGTTCCATTGGAGAAGAGTGACGAGGTAGAGAAGCACCGCGTGGCCATCGAAAAAAATTTGCGATCCACGCAAGGAAGGCTCAATGATTTAGGTAATTTTTGCAAAGATTTTTGAATGTATTCCCAAATTCTGAAAGCTGTTTATGAGCATCTTGATTGAAATCTGTTGATAATTTGTCGAGACAGCAAATTTTTGGTTCTACTTCGTCAACAAATTCCCTTCGTAAACGTTCCCACTGGGTTAATTGCAAATTATGAAACCAGCTGAGTTGAGAAAACGTAGCATGCATATGAACTCGTATATCCAATAGATGTGTATTTTGTTTGAGTTGAACTCATTTATCTGCACCACTGGAAACTGTACAGTTATTTTTCTACTGAATATTGTGTTCATGTTGATTTTAAAAAAATTGATAATTATGTCTCTGATTGGATTTTGAATCGATATCCTTCGCTTTTAATAAATAGTTCACCTCAGAATATATATTCAGTATTGAATTGAGGTTCACTCTTGA